TCCCCCCCCCCCCCCCCCCCCGGGGAGGGGGAGAAAATTTGTCCCTGTGGAGGTCTAAAAAAAATCACACTTTTAAAATCACATTTTAAATGTAAATTTTAAAATTGTATGATCCTAAGAGTTTGTGAACATAATAATTATCAAAGTTGTGTGGTAAAATTTCTTCAGTGAAGTGACATTAATGAAGAACAGGGTTTATTTGACTTTTGCCTTTTTGAAGGCTTTCTTGATCAGGTTTAAACATTGCTATGAATTTGTCCCATTAAAATTTTAAGGCTCAGTTATCAAAGTATGAAAGAGGCCACAGGAGAAAAGCCTTGGAACAAAAAATCTTCATGTTGAGAGATTAATACATATGGGTGGGTTGGGCTATGCTATTGGCTGAGTCATTAAAGATAATGACTATAGCATAGAGCAGACATTCCAAAATGTCTGTTGAGTAGGTGGATGAGGAGTAGAGGGACAGATGAATGAAGGATCTGCATGTGGCTTTGGAGAGAGTATGTCATCCATGACACCTACATGTGGTGGCCACAAAAGCAAAGGAGAGAGGCCACTGGGTGTGAACACTACAGACCCTTTCATTCTTCTGGGTCTCCCATGGGACCTGCTGCTTCTGCTCTTCCATAGCCATTTCCTTACACTTCTCTCCACGGCCCTGTATCCTTACTTGCCTTATTCTCCCTTTTGCATTGGTTGCCTGAATTGATTTTATTCGAGCTTTATGTATTGAATTATGGTATTTGACTCAGACATCATGGTCTCCTGAGAAAACAAAACCTACCACATTTACTGAGTCTACATCTGGGCATTCCTGAGGAAGGGCCTGTTTCATCCTTCTTCTCAGACCATTTGAATCAAACTAGTGATGTGATTCCTGACCTTTGAAGAAAAATCACTTCCTTTTGATTTTCTAGAGTCCCATGGTTTTCTTCGATAATTTATTCTAGAACAATGAAAGTTTTTGGCCAAAGGAACCTGTGTTGACAACTGTGATTGATGGATTCCATGTTTATGCAATTGTAATGATGCTATTGATTTGACCCCAAGAAGTAATTCCTCCATTTTACAGTTAAAGGAATTGAGGCCCAGATTTGTTGACATAGAATGAAGCGCCTAAGGTTAGAACTGCCGAGCCCAGATGTTGAGAACAGGTGCATAGCACCAAGGTGGAGGGTAGAATTGAGGCAGGATGGATAATTTGATACAAAAGTATTGAATCTGTGGTCCCAGAAAATTGTAACATTTTCCTTTATGTTTTGTTTTAAAGTTATAAAAATAATGGTCAAGAGTGGCCACTTCACAGTACCACAGCTTTGATTTAATGGGACTATTTTCTCTGAAATGGACAAGTGACTTGATCTCAAGCACTTTCCTGTCAGTTTTATGTTAGTAAATGTTGCTCACAATCTGCTTCTTTTCTCTCTTAGACCCTCTCTCACCATGCCTCATAGGAACCTGACTGGAAGCTGCAACGTTAACTGTGGTTGTAAGACACATGAGTACGAGCCCGTCTGTGGATCCGATGGAATTACGTACTTTAACCCCTGTCTGGCTGGCTGTGTTAACAGTGGTAATCTTAGCACAGGGGTGAGTCTATGTCACAACTTCCTGTACTGTGGTTAATCCGACATCCTGTGATAAGGATGTGTGAGAAGTCAGAGGCAAACCCATGACTTCAGTCTCCCCTTTTCAAGAAACTTCAAATAACCTACAAAATACCTCTGACACAAATCCAGAGGAAAGAAAATTATGCAATACATTATTTTTTCCCAGGGATGATTGGCACGTCTGGGGATAGCCCTTTGCTTCCACATCAGCTCTCTTCTACTTTGCATTTGGTGCCAACTCAGTGAAACTTGATAAGGTTGAGGGCTGGGCCTCTCATGTGGTCCTTGTGATGGATCTGAAGGTCAAGATGACCACACTGGTACTGACGGAAGAGAATAGGAATGTACCTCCCCTGCTGGGAGTCAGTGAAGATGAGCAGTGGCATTTTTCATAGATTATTGGTTCTGACTCC